GGAAGCAGCCCTTCCTCTGAGGTGCCTTAGTTACCGCTTAGTTGTTTGTGCCGCCCAGGGAGAAGAAGGCCAAGTGCCGTCACCTCCCTTGATCCTGGAGGGTCCCTCCAGCCTTCAGGTCCTGTTGTAGGAGTCTGGCTTGATTTTTCCACTGGGGGGGTGGGGGTGGGCAGTGGCTCGGTTGTTGTGCACATTGATCACATTTTCTCCAGGCTCCTGTTCCTTAGGCATGTGCACCATTGGATGCAAACTAATGCTTTAGAAGAAGGGTGCCAGCCGACGGACGCCCCACGTTTCATGTGTGCATCTGAGCCCCAGCCCCAGCCCCAGCCCATCCTGAGCCGCCCCACAATATATATAAACGGCCTGGCCTTCAACAAAGCTAATTTGTACCCGCTCCCTCATCTCCAAAATGGAGATGATATAAAAACAGCAGTTGGCATTGATGGAGTCTGTATCTCCTACGTATGTAGGTCCCCCATGTTGTTCCAAGTGCTTTACATGCATCAACCGGTTCTACAGAGAAAACAGTGATAGGAGGTGGGTGCCGGGGAAGCACAGTGAGGTGGAACAACTTGCCCAAGGTCAAGCAGTTGCTAAATGGAAGAGCTGAGATCCCAGCCTATGTACATACAGGTAGGCTTCAGAGCCTATGGCCTGAACTGCCGCAGAGTCCAAGCGGCTGCAGGGATCTGTTCTGAGGTTTGAGGAATCTGAGCCCTATGGCCCAAGCTGCCTGCAGGCTGTGGTTTGCGCTGCCAGAAGCGTGGGAGGGCGAAAGGGGCGGGGCCCGGGAGCGGTTGGGGGGAGGGAAGGAGTGGGAGGGTCTCTATTAGCCCAGGAGCCGGTTGTGGTGGGAACTGCAGGATTTAGACACTCTTCGTGGACATCCAATTGCTGCTTCGGGAACGGGCGGAACCAAGAGTCATTATTTTGTCTGGACAGGTCTGAACTCGGTCAAGGTGAAGAGCCAGATAAGCCCTTCCTCGCCATCGTCGTCTCTCCCTCCCCGTCACCTCTCAGCTGGGGCTGCGTGGGTGGCGGGGGTGGGGGTGTGGAGC